GCCCACCGGTAGCTAAGGGAGACAACCTGCCATTGTTTAAAATGATGGCCAAATTTGTTTTCTCCTCCTATCTAGAAGCCTTTGAGAGGAAACGGACACTGATTCTAACCACTCTAACAGCTATCAACATGCAAAGCAAATCCTGTATCCATCACTCTTGAATTCAGCCTTGGAAGACAAAAGAAAAATGAGGAGGAATCCAATAGAGGGATGATTTTGGAGGCTCTCATCAAGAAATTCCAATGGACTCTCATATGAACATTTGAAATTTGCCCTGTTCTGACTTTTTTTCTAGTTCCCTGTCTAGAACTTGTAATGCTAATTACTCTTGCCTTCACTTCTCCTTCACATCTCCTATTCGCCAGTCAAGGACTTTCTTTTCCCCCTACACGTAAAAGTTATACAATTTGGGAGTCTTTTAGATAGACCCACTGAAGGCATACCCCAACTGCCTCACCCTGCATCCCTCCCTGTTTAGCATGGGAGGAAGCCAGAGCAGTCTGTGTCCTGATTCCCCATCCACAAGCTGGGTAACCTTTTCAGAGGATGGTGTGATAAGAACAGTAGGTAGGAATTACCTAGGCAGTTAGTTAGTGTAAAAAGACCCCAAAGAAAAGTAGCCAGCTTCTTGGCTAAAAGTCAAAATTCCCATGGGCCTCTTAACAACATACTCAGTTCCAAAGGCCAAAAATGTCTAAAGTATTTGGGAGCTCTTATCTAGTCCTTAAAAGATTTTAGGGCTACCTTTTCAGAGTCTGTAATGTTAGAGTAGCAAAAAGCCCCTTTAGAAAAAAAAGAAGAAGAGTACATGAGGTTATCAGAAAAAAGTGATGGGGAGATATGGGAGGAGTTGGAGGGGAGGGAGGGAGCATGGATTTGATCAAGACACCTTATATCCCTGTATAAAATTTCCAATAAATTATTTAAAAAAAAAAAAAAAAAAAAAAAAAACAAGCAAACAAAGGTGTGGTTGCTCATGCCTTTAATCCCAGCACTTGGGAGGCAGAGGCAGGAGGATCTCTTTTGGGTTGGGCCAGGCTAGTCTACAAAGTAAGGCCAGCTGGA